ATATTCTCCTGTGCACGTAAAAAACATTACCTTACTACTGTAATTTCATGAATGTACTGTGTGTGACATTGTGAATCGTGTTCCGAACCAAAGTGTAAACACCCTATGGGATTTGAAAAAGCGAAGTCTTTGTAAGTTATATCCCATAATAAAAATTTGAATTTGAAGTTAAGTTGTTCTCTGATTCTTGATATTAGCCAAAGGTGAATAGAGCGTGTGTTCAGATTCGTCCTGCATTTAAAATACACCTAGATGAAAAGGGTACTCTGGCTGAAGTCCTATCAGAGCCCGTAGACAAAAGAACACATGGATAACACGATGAATAAGTAAACCGTATTCAGCGGTGGTGAACAGTTAAATTTGGACGGTCCGGATAGTTTGACATAATACTGGCATAACTTACGGACAGAGGCGCAAGTAGAAAAACACGGATTTTCAAGGGAGGTTCAGTTGTGGTTTGGAGAGCTGTTAAAGACACACGAACAATTTCCCGAGCTAAACTGTAGGAAAAATAAAATAATAAATATTCTTTTTATACCGGGAACAAGTAAAGGAGTTCAGTTTCCAACAAAACAATGCTTTTATTCACACCAAATACCCCACGAAACTGTGCTTGTTTTATAACATCATTTGACTGCTGGACCAGCTCTCCCATGGTCCCGATTTAAATCTAATAGAAATGTTTTGAGAATGATATCAAGACGGGTATTTCACGGATACAAGTCTTTCCAATGAAGTGCTGGGTAGCAACGTTTAGAGAGATGCGAAAGGCTGCGGCTATCGTTAATAGTCGCAATCTTTTCCGAGTAATTAGGAATATAGGCGTAGGTAAAGTAGTTAAGGAATCTCATGGCACAATGATTCACAGTCAGCAACGCCATCCTGACGGATGGGTTGAATATTTCGAGGATCAGTTCAGCTGCCTCCCATCGGCATCTGACTTATCATCTCCTCATCGACTGGGAAAATACCCCCAGTGGATACCAGTCCTCCATCGGAGATAAAGGTTTACAGGGAAATAATTTACCTCAAAAGGTGTAGAAGTTCCTATCCAGACGAATGTCCCAATCGGTTTTTAAGAATGGAGGCTCAGCATTCGTTCTGCTTTCGAAGAAACTCCTGAGCTCAATATGGAAGAGGGAGCGAGTTCCATCTGAATGGTATGAATCGCTTATCTTACCAATTTACAAGAAAGGTGTCTGACGCTCTTGTGAAAGCCACAGAGGAATTAGTTTAATCAACATTGCCTCTAAACGTCTCGCTGATATCATACTCCGTCGATTATCTGCCGCACGTGAGAACCAGGTTGGTTTTAGACCTGGTCGACGTTGTATCGATTACATATTCACTCTTCGCCAAGTTCTCGATCATGGACATTCTTTTCGTAGACCAACGATCTCTCTTTCTCGATTTGTAAGCGGCCTTCGACTCAGTCGACCGCTCCAAACTCTGACGCTACCTTTACCTGAAGGATGTGCCCGAGAAGTCTATTTCAATATTACAATCCCTTTATACTAATAGCCGAAGTCGAGTCCGAGCTTAGGACATTTTCACCCTAGTTCACCACGGAAAGTGGTATTCGACAGGGCTGCTCTCTCTCTTCGTTTCTATTTAACTTTGTCATAGATTTAACTCTTGAAACAGCTCTATCCTAATGCGAGGATAGCGGTATCGATGTACCCCCAAGTAGCAGATTGTCTGATCTAGAGTGTACGAACGACGTTATGCTACTAAGTGAAGATCCAGGTAAGTTGCAAGCTTTTCTGAATAGTTTGAGTGCTAGTGCAGCCTTGTTCGGTATGCATTTTGAACCTTCAAAGTGTAAAATATTGCTACAAGATTGGGTTAGTCCAGTACCCAGTCTCATTCTAACCGGAGAAGTAATGGAGCAAGTGAATAAGTTTTGTTACTTGGGCAGCTAAATCTCACCCGGTGGACGCATCATGGATGGAGTGTCAGCTTACATACAGAAAGCTCCATTGGCATTTGTCAACTTGAGACATCTGACCCCTTGGCGACATCCGGCTGTCCACGAAGGGGTGGGTGTATGCTGCAGCAGTTCGGCTGTACGGCGCAGAGACTTGGTTGTTACAGGAACAGGATAGAAGTTGACTGTGGGTGTTGGAAAACCACGGTCTACGCGGTATTGCACGAATCTGGTGGGGTAGCCGGACGAGCAATGCTGAACTTATGTGCACAGTTTTAAGTGACCTCGGTCGCCCACAGGAGCAAGTGGTCGACGACTGTAGATTGCGCTGGTTGGGGCATGCTCAGTTCATGTCACTAAATAGGTTGCCACGACGAGCGAAGTTCGCCGAGGCAGGTAGTGGGTGGAAAAAGCGAAGGTTGGTCAAGGTAAGATCTGTCATGATGGTATAAAAACCCTCACCAGGGGGTCAGTCACATAGGTCCCGTTAAGCTCCCTAGCTGGAGACCTCGGGATAACCATAACTGAGTGATATGGCAGGGAGTCGCATTGGCGCTCAAGCATTTTCTCAATTTCCTAGCAACATTAGACCACTCAATTTCTTCATATTTTATTGGAGTTTATTTTGAACTCTCTTGTCTTTCTCCTACTGTTCGTCCAAAAGACAGAAACCATAACCGGCGCACAGAAGTACATGGTCAATGGTTGTACAAACTGCACTTTAAGTTGAGGTATTCTGGTGAAGCTTATAGGATTGCCGAAGTTCTTCTGGTTCATATATTACTACCTCATTCTGTATTGGAAGCATCCTCAGGAAAGACAGTCAGATGGCGATTTGGTACCGACAATGCACTCAGAAACAACATAAAGGGTCACGTGGAATAATAAACATCGATGTCAAGACGCCCTCCCGCCTTGTCACTAAACCTTATCTTACAGTCAATCTATGTTGATCAAAAGTGTACTGATATTTTAGATGACGCTATTTCATTGTATAATTTGCGCCCGACAACGCAATAGCGTACAAAGTGCAGCATGAACAAAAAGCCATCCCTTCCACTAGACCATACACTGTAAAAACAGATTGCTCATATCGATACATCGTACAACCGAATCAATCAGGGTAAGGCTCAGTTACGATTTTTCTCCTCGATACTCCAAAAATCCACTTGGCTCGTTCAGTGCTAACATTCGCAGAAACACTTTGACTGATCAGAAGCAAATCTCGTGCACTGGGCTAACGATTTGTGCACAGTATGGACCTATTGATTAAAGCCAACAATGGGATTCGATTCGGTGATTCTGAACATCCTGGCTTCCACTTCCAGAACATTTTCGATGTGATAAATACTAATATAATTGTCTACAAACGATTCACCTCTCATTTGTTACCTGGTCGATGCACACGTGGTTACGAACACACTGGGGTTTTCTCCTGTTTTATTTTGTGGTGGTGCAGTGGTTTAGTCGCTGTCACAGGCGAGCTTTAGACTCTATGGTCTGGGGTTCGAGCCCCGCCACCGCCATCCAACTTTGTTGGTAGGCAGGTTTGCCGTCGTCCGGTTTTATACCACGCCTAACCTATCGGGGCCTTATGTGGTTCACCACTTCAAGTCTCGCGGGGTTAGGTTACCGGTTTCCATTACTGAACAACAGGTTCTTGTGACTATGGGGTTCCACCCCGTCTGCTATTCATCACACGACAGTGTGTAATAAAAAACTTTCAAAAAATCGTTCGGAACAAAACACGTTCCATAATAGACCTAGATACACAAAGAGAGGCCGAAAACGCGTCGATACGGAATTCACAGCGAACCGTACGAGGACTGACGCGGTGAACTACGGAATAGGAGCCAGTGTGTAAATGCAAAGAGAAATCCGTTGGTTAATATCCCGGCGACTATGGTGTACTGCATTGTCAGCATATGTTCGGAGTCGATACATAAATGATTTCAGATCTGGGCAACGGACAAGCTCACAACGGATAAAAACATTGTGAACTGGTTAAAGCTAAACCAACCAACATCCCCTTCTGCCAAGAAAGTGAGGTAGGAGCAGTTGACTGGATCTTCGTACCTTCAAGCTGGCTCAGTAGCAGCTCTATGCATGAGTGAACGAATTTATCTTAAAAAATTTAGGCAACTTTAGTGCCATAAATTACTTCAGTTGTCAGATTTAGGTTGATTGGCAGATTGAGGTGTTATGTTAGTATGATGAAAAGTTCAGAAGCCTCGATGCAACTTGAACCCATGCATGGACGCCGCGCACGCGTTTTAATAGTGCTTGCTCGACCACCGGAGATACGAGGTTAGAACAACAGCACTGATCTATGCGTGGATTCGAATCCCACTAAGACTAGTGAACTTTTCAAAATTCGAACAGAATACGGTGCGTTTGAATAATTACTGCACGTCACTAGTCTATTTCCCTTGCTCATCTCCTCCTTCGATCCGTCACGATTTCTAAAACGATTTAGAATGATATTTATTACAACAGTAAAGTGAGAAATGCATAAGACTGAAAATCCCAACCGGGTAGATAACACAGATGATGAGCACAAAAAACAAAAATAACATGTGAAAATATAAGCTCATTCAGATCAAAGAAGATTCGGACAAGGAGTGAGTCGCCGAGGTGAGCATATTTAACAATCAAAGATTGGGTGAATCAATCGAGAATATCAGTTCGGTGTTCAGCGCATCACACTGGCTGAACCCACGAAGACGTAGGAGTTAGATACTGACAAATATAATTCAAACACCTGGGACTAGCCGGGATGATGCTGGTGGAATATTCGTAACATAGCCACAAATCCGAATCCCAAGAAGGCACACAGACAACTGATCAAAGTGTGTTTCTGATGCTTGGTACTAAATGCATCAGCGCCACCTCCACCACCACCGCCGTTTGTCATGTGACAGCTTACTCCTGGAGAAGCGCTGGCAGACAGTTCAGACGGCAACATTTCCATGAATACCACATAGAGAAAAGCGGATGCGGCAAAATTTTGGAATACTGACATCAAAACACTCATGCGCAAGTCGTCGGAGAGATGAGCATCTTCGGTTAGATTGGCTACGTCACAAATCGAACTAGAATTGACACAGGGAAAGGGGTTGGGGATCCGAGCCGAATTGTAATGCAGACTAAGACCTAATGTTGTTCCGATGGGAACGAGAATAAGGTAACCAATCAGTATCACAATAGCATAGCATTGGGTTTTCCGAGAATGAGCCACACGTGCCAGTCGAAGACCCAAAGTTGCAGCGCACAAAGTCTGATGCAAAACCATCGCCAGTCCCATACTAACAACCTATAAGAAAGGTATTGATTGAAAGTTCCAGTTTTCAGTTCGAAAGGGTTTCATAATGAACACATGCAAAAAAATAAAATGATTGAATATGGAATGTAAAAATGTGAGTACAACACACATACAAGCCTTTGATACAATATGCTTTATTGATGCATACACACTACGTCAGGTGCTATCAGAGCATCCCAAATATTCAGCCAGCTCACCAGATCAAAATTACTCTTAAAACGTCTGTCTATTAGCTAGGAATAAGGTCAGAAGGTGATTGATAAGATTCTCCTTTTGTATGTGAATGTGTGAATGTTGCATTCACATCAGTGCACCAGATGCTGCCTCTTTCCTGAGATGACAATGATTGGCGATGGAAGTAGTATGCACAGTCATGAGTCCAGGAGTAAAATATGACTCTGAAATGCACATGGAATTTAGCCTTGGAAAGAAAGCGAAAAAGACGCCTAATGAAAACATGCACAGATAAAGGAACCTCACAACGAATCTAATATTCATTGTTTATCTCTCGAGGACAAAACGCTCTCCACAGCGAATTTCCCCATAGACCTACAGTGAACAAAACGATTTCAAGGTCACCGGTATTTTTCAAGCGTTTTTAGTGTGTATCAGCCACCGTTTTCAATAAAATGTTGAAATTTTAACCACGAGCAACGCGGCACACTTACTCGATAGAATCACAAAAGAAATTAACTTACCACGAATGGAAATCTGAGAATTGCACACAAAGGGGATGCAAAATGACTTCCGGTTGAATTCAAATGGATAGTCAAATAACCACATGCCAGGAAACACAACGTCCGATATTAGCAATAAGTGGAGTGAATCTTGCAATTTTAATGATCGAAGCCCACCGTTGACCTATTTCCAAAGTCATTTGTTCTTCAATAATGGCTTTGATTAATTCATCCTGTGTATCGGTTTCAGTTTTTTACAGCCATATGGTTTACAATTTGGACGGAATAAAGGGAATGTTGGAGGATGCAAAACAGCGTTAAAATGAGAAGATGCGTGAATGCCATTGTTTACGCCATATTCTTCA